AAAATAATTGACTATTATTTTCTAAATGCGTAAATTGCCTATAAAATACTGTCTATATCAATTACAATTGCATACGTCGGGAAGAGCTTCTCAAAGTTTAAGTTGATGAAATCCTAGTTTCAATCAACAATGTCACAAGAAAAGTTGAATAGATTGATAATGTTGTCTATGAAAAACAAAAAGGTTTTAAAATGGATTAATAGTAATAACGTAATTGTTGATTTTCTATAAAAATAAAAAAATTCAAATGTTTAGACTTTAAGACCTAAGGCCCATATATTTGAAGTTGGTTTAAGACCTCTAAAATCTTAGGGTCGACCGTGCAAGAAAGTTAGAAACATTCAAATCCTCTTTCTTATAACCATGAAGCAAAACTTGTTCCAACACACGCGTATGGATACAATATAGTGGATTCATTCTATCAAAAAATATGAGAACGCCCCCTTTTCTCCAAGTAATAGGATTTGCCTTCATTGACATTCATTTTTATTGATCCGAGTAATCATATCATACAGAAGGAAAGGACTTCCAATCTACGCTTTTCCACCAAAGGGTTAGAAACTCGGGAAGAGTGGGCCTCGCACCGGAGGCAAAGGCCCCACACCAAGTGATTCTCCCTCCACAACTCTACATATGATATTCCGAAAACGAACCCGTGATTTAGTAGCTACAAGACAAAGTGTCACGGACTGCAGCTTTACCTAAACCCCGTGACCCTATCGCAGTCACAGTTTGCCCAACTTCGGCTACACATCATATATATTTCATTTAATTGTAAAATAGTTGATAATTAGAAAAGTTTAGTATGATTTCTCGGCTTTTTAACGTCTACTCCCGTCATATGAGTTTTTGTTGCTAAGTCTATTATAAGGGGTATTAGTCTTTCAAACATTTTTCAAACTTTCTAGTGTTCACCCCTTGCATTAGCCATTGTAATTTCTTACTTTCATCTATTGTAATGTTCAGCTTTCAAGTAATAAATGATCAAGTTTATTTCAAT